TGTTTTATGTGGTTTTGAGAAAGTGGTAATATTTTTATTTTTGAATAAAATATAAATTTAAAAATATCATAAAATTTAAAAAAAAATATCGATATCAGTATTAAATTAATCTTTTTAAAAGTTTTTGTGTTTTGGTATAATTTTCTTAATTAAATTTTGTTAGTTATCAATGATTATCATAAGTATATTTTAAATTTTTTATATTTAAAATGAGATATTTATCCAATATTTGATTATGTTTATCTGCAGTTAGTTAGACGAATTCAAGTATGGAGCTCTAATAAGTTGTACTTTATGCATAATTTACTTGTAATCTTAAATTTTAAGTAATATGCATCAATATATAATATTTCGTGCATAAAAAATTGTTTTTAAGAATTTTTGTCAAATGTTTTATAATATAACTAGGTACTCCTGCAATGTAGCGAGATAAATCTCCATTTTAATGTTTAATTTTTATTATTTATCTCTATCGATGTAATATAATTTTATGTGGTTTTGAGAATGCGATAATATTTTTATTTTTGAATGAAATATAAATTTGAATGAAATATAAATTAACTATTTAGTAGTTTTCTGTTTTTTTGGTGTAACTTATTTAACTCAATTTTTTATTATAATTTAATTTAGGTATAATAACAAAGTAATTTATTTTTGGTTTAATAATATAATTTTTATTAAAGATAATAATTAAACATTCGGTTAGAAAATCGATAATTATCCTGATTATATTTTAGAATTTTTATATTTTAAAATGAGATGTTTATCTTCTATTTAATTATGTTTATCCGTAGTTAGTTACACAAATTCAAACATTGAACTTTTATAAGTTGTACTTAATGCATAATATACTTGTAATCTTGAATTTTAAGTAATATGCATTAATATACAGTACTTTATGCATAAAAAATGGTTTTTAGAAGTTTTTGTCAAATGCTTTATAATATAGTATAGATATAGATAGTATAGATTATGTGTTTTAAAAAAAACAATAATGATTTTATTTTTGAATAAAATATAAATTTGAAGATATCATAAATTTTTTAAAAAATATATATCAATGTTAATGTCAAATCA